TAATTAAAAACTTGTTTACGTATGCAGCTGATTCTACGTTAAATTTGTATTGATGTATCGCAGAAAATTTACTCAATTATCATATGGATGGTCCAGCATAAAATATTCATATGGAATTCCAAGTAGAAAGTCCATGTAGGTGGCCGAGTCAAATATCCATGTAGATTTCCATGTGGAAAATTCGTGCAATAATAAACGAATAAGAATCACTGACTTTTCTTACAAACAATTCGTCAAAACTACTACGTGGAAAATCTACGTAGATTTCCATGAGGATAGTTCACATTCAACTCCATGTCAAATATCCATGTAGATTTCAACGTAGAATCCATATAGATCCATGAAGAACCCACATCGAATCCACATGGAAGTCCACGTGGAATATCCACGTGAAAATCTACATGGCTCCTCGAGATGGGGATACGCTATTATCCGTATAATACCATTTAAACTGAGGGGTTCAAGTATTTTTTAACAATAAACAAGAATAATTTGAACAGGTGGGGTCCAAAATAACAACAGTTTACTTCAATTTTGCCGTAAAACTATGAATGTTCATTTCAGCGACGTGTATTCTGACGACAACGATAGCTCAGTGCAGCAACTATTCATTATTTCGACAGCCAATCACAAGAAAGTTTACTTTGACTTTCTACTTATGCTGCTCCGTAATTGGCTGTCGAAATAATGAATAGTCGCTGCACTGAGCTATCGTTGTCGTCGGAATACACGTCGCTGAAATGAACATTCATAGTTTTACGGCAAAATTGAAGTGAACTGTTGTTATTTCGGACTCCACTCATTTGAACAGTACAACTTTTTGGTTTTTTTTGTATATTGTTCAAAAATACTTGAACCCCCAGTTTTGGTGTTAAAATACAGCTGTACTTTATTGGAAAAATCATAGCTAATTATTTTTAACTGAGGCCCACCCCATTCACGCTATAAGATATACAGCTGGACCCATGCAAGTATGGGTTCTTGTGAAATATTTATGCTGTTTCATTAAAGATACAGCAGATGGCGAAATGAGAAACGAGGACCATATAAATATAACAGTATCCTACCTGAAAAAGAAAGACGGAATTCCATGTGTGATTACTTCTGTAATACCTTCAGGAAAGCCATGTGGCATTACATGTGGTTTTACGTATGGCATTACATAAGGGGTTTTAGCTTGGTAGTGCCATATGTAATTCCATTGGAAAAAACACGTAGAATTACAAATTAGAAAAAGGAAAAAATTTTGTCATCTAGAAATAACTGCAGAATTCTGTAATGCGTCATTTACTGTGAACAAGTAGTGTTACAATATGGATGATGACTCGAAAACAAGGGGATTCAAGTTATATTTCAGGAATAAAAAAAAAATTTAAAAATTAAATTTTTTTCTATAAAAGTGAAATCAGCTGAACCCCCTTGTTTTGGAGTTATCATCCTGATGGTAAGACAAATTGATGATTGCAAATAACTTATTGTGGTATTTTGCAGTTATTTTTAGATGATAGAAATTTTTTCTTTTTCCAATTAGTAATTCCATGTGTTTTTCCATATGGATTACATATGGCATCACCAAGCTAAAACCCTTTATGTAATGCCATATGTAAAACCATGTGTAAAGCCATATGGCTTTCCTGAAAGTCTTACAGAAGTAATTCTACATAGAATTCCAACATTTTTTTTCAGGTGGGTAGTGTTCGCGAACACTATATGTAGTTTTACTATAAGTTTTGGAGAACACTATCATAATACTAGCGAGAGTAACAGTGCACCGTTCGCTTAAAAAAAATTAATTTACATCACAAGCCACTTACATAACCTCGACCCATGATGTATACAGACTTTTTTAATTTTTTGGTGCATTAAATAATGTTGTATCACTTGCACTGTCTAGTACACGAAATTTTTTTCCCATTTTAGTTAATTTATATTCAAATCAATAATACAAATTTGAAAATAATTTTACAAATATATTCATTACTTTAATTTTTCCCTTTTAGTGTTCACTGGCTGCAGGTAATCATCTGCTTGATCCTCGTTTTTTGTTGTGACACTTGGTGTGAAAAAGCGGAAAAGACACAAAATGTTCACAAAAATTTACTATTTGCAATACGGGCAATGGAACTACCAGTATATTGTACACCATGGCCCTACTCAAGGTGAGCCTTGAGCCAAGACTACTAGCACTGCAGAGCCTGAACAAAAGTAAATGAAGTGGCCATTGTTAAAACTAAAACCTTTGCCACTACGCACGTTACAAAAAAAGCCAATTCAGTGCCATTTAATACTCTAAAATAACCTCATGCGGCAGTAAACAGAATTAAAACCTTAGCCACGCGGCTGACCTTGTGAAAAAGACCAAGAGCGGAGGTCTGAGAGTGGTCAAAAATCGAAACCAGCCGCTACTCTCACTAGAATTCAGAAACGGTATAATTCGGTAACATCCCCAGCGGAAATTTGAAAACGTAACAAAATGTTTAAAAAAGTGAACATGTGTAAGAATATGCCGTAACCCGCAAGAAAATGTAAGAAAATGTATGTAAGGAACTGTAATAGTCTCATGGATTTTGGACGTTTCTTACACTTTATTATTATGTTGTGTTACGTTTTCTTACATTTTCTTACGTTTTAATATGATTTACCACATGCTGTTACACTTATACTTTTTCATGATAGTTACTCCAGTTTTTTTTATTTAAGGCAAATTTTATTCGAAAATATAAGGAAATGTGTCGAAAAGTTATCAATGATAATAAAATATAAAAAAGTGTAATGAACTGCAAAAACTTGTAAGCTGTTATAAAACATTACAGATGACAGCACTTTCTTACAGTTTATTATAGTTTACTACAGTTGCTTTTTCACGAGATTCAAGTGTCTTTTTAGAATTATAATAAAATGTAACGAATCGTAAGACAATGTGTTAGGTTATAGTAGACCATAATCAAACATAACAAAGCGTAACAAACTGTAACTGTGGTCCGAAATCCAACCAAACTGTACATTACATCACAGAAAGTTACAGTTTGCTACGTTTTTTCACACTAACTTTTTCCGTTGGGGATCCAAAAGATTTTTAACATATCTTTTTCAGTACAGAGTTATGAAGTAAATGAAGTAGTGCCATGTAGTCGATTTCATGAACCAGCCACAACTTAACGAACGGACAACAATAAAAATTTGTGAAGTGCCATTTGCAGCAAGATTATAATTTATCTTCTACCAAAAAATCAACCTTAAAAAAAATAGGCCCCGCAAAACCAGCCACAACTTTACCAGTTGGGTTTTTTTACAGTACTCTATACCTACTACTAATGTTGCAGCAATTTTTGAATTTAATAAACGGAGAAAAATGATCTTTGACGACCTCGAGCGTTTTAGAAGGTCGGGTGTGCCATCGGTAGGAAAAATAAGATTCGCCACGTAAGTGCCATTACATCGCTCTGCGGCTATCTTACGTTCCTCGGGCAATGCTTCGCAGATCCCTCGAGCCACAAAATAGCCCCAGAGACAACGGCACTTATCCGACGAAAACTACTATTTCTTACGATAGGAAAAAGTGCAACTGCTGCTTTGCGGTTTTAAGCCACACTTTACGCCCTCAAAATCACTTTGGACTCACGGGCAGAAAAGTACTTTGGTCCCGGAGGGCGCAAAAAACTTTTCTGCCCTAGAGCCTTAAGTTATTTACTGGGATCAAAGTGTGCCCACGGGTCCAAAATTGCACTTTGCGCCTTCGGTAAGAAAAACATTATACGCGACTCGGACACCAACATATAACAACCGCGCCCTTCGGGCGCTGATGTTTGTACTTAGTACCCTACTAACGTAATCTACCATTCCGCGCCTCCTATGTAACGCTAATTTTATCTATATTACTCATCAAGATTGTAGATCGTGCTTTTCTAGATAAGATTAGATAAGGTAAGCGTTAAATGAGCGGCTCGGAATGGTAGTTTTCCTACGAGTTTGAAAAGTCTCTGTTTGCGAACCGAGACGTTTGCGGCCCGAGCCGAAGGCGAGAGACGTAAGGAGGTTCGTAAAGGAGACTTTTCGAACGAGTTCCGAAAAACTGCTTTTTCGCCCGAGGAAGTACCAGCCTCCCAAAACCACCCGAAGGCGGAAAAGGTCCTTTTCTCCCCTTTATTAAATCTGAAAGTTGCCAAAACTTTTATATGTACAATGTATTATTGTGAGAAAACTTACTAGTTAAGTTAAAGCTGGTTTTGCTTTTGTATAGGAATCCATTTTTTGAAGGTTGATTATTGGGTAGAAGACATATTTTAATCTCGCCACAAATGGCACTCCATTACAACCTTTAATTTTCAATGCGTTGGTTTAGGTTGCGGCTGGCTTACAAAATCGACCACGATAGGCTATTCCCGTTACCGCGTAACTCGTTACCAGAATAAAATAGGACGTAAATATATTGACTCTCCACAAATTAGTTTACTCAATTCTGAGCAGAGTTGCGGCTGGTTTAGATTTTCAACCACTGTTGGGCCTCAGTTCTTGGTTTAAAATGCGTTAAAATAAAGTCAGCTGAAATAATGTGCTAAAATTAAGTCAGAAATACCGATGTAGCACTTTTCCTGTTTCTAGTGGCTATTATACTTAATCACACTGACGTCTTCTAAGAAATGACTATTCAAGTATTTATTAAACATACTTTTGTTTGCTGGAAAAATGTTATGAAAATTTTCAGAAAACGTTTTAAAATGTTGTAGAATACTACATGTTAAGGTTTCTAGACAAAACATTTAATATTTTTTTCAATTCTTGCAGAAGTGATTCCTAAAAATTTCGTTGTCATTTATCATAAAAAATTGATATCCTGATGAAAGATTAACTCAATATGTACTCATCTTTATTTAAAAACATTGTCTTTCAGATGAAACATTCCATGTTTCACAGGTAGTAAGTACATGCTATAAAATCTAGCGGTGAAGTTTCTTAAATTTATGTCTTACAGAGTTATATCAACTTTAAATTTAACCTACTATTTCTTAAACACCAATAAGTGTTTCTTTCGCACTTTATTTTTTCAAGGTTTTCTTTACCCTCCAAACCAAATGCAGTCTTCAACCAGTTTCTCTTGCGAACATTTCCTCTTCTTTCGGGATATAAATTTTCGAATAGTAATGTCTCATCTGCAAAAGTAGTATTTGTAGTTAGGCGTGCATGAACTTCCTCGTCAGATTTATGATTTTTGTTTTCCTTTCTTTCACTCATTATAAAATAATTTTGTCAACAAAATCGTCTGAGACCTAAGAAATAACTTCGTCAAAAAAACTGTATTAACTATATATACTCATGGATGTATATAGTCTACGAAATTAGATGCTTATTAGACCAAGAGCTGAGGCCAAAGGGTGGTCAAAATTTTATCCAGCCGCCACTCTCGCCAAAATTGAGGAACCTTATGATTCGTAGAGATCCTGAATATTTTGGTCACATTTTATAGTGATAAAGAGTTAAATGGTAATTATAGTAGTGCCGTATAGTCTTTTTTATTAACCAGCCGCAACTTACGTAGGTAAATAGTGAAAAAAAAGTTGTTATCTTAGAGTACCATTTGCGGTAAGATTAAAATTCATCTTGTATCCGAAACTCAACCTCCAAAAATATAGATATTGTATTATTATCTAAGATATTATCTATGATAACTCATGTGTTATCTTAGATGAGTGTTACAGATAAGATCGGTTAGGGGGTTCATGATATAAGAATATAAGATGTGGCGTTGCGCATCAATTTTGATTGACCAATCAGGAACGCTTCAATCGCGCTGCCATGTCAGCCTGCGAATTTCAAAAGCTTTTAAAATGTAATGCATATTAACAACAAGAAACTCGTGAAACAATATATATTTTTTATTTCAATATTTTCATTCCAGTTGTTTCAGTGACTAAACGTACAATTCGTGAATATTAACACAAAAAAAACTGACTAAATAGGTAATCATTTATCAATTGACGAACATGTAGATTCATACGTATGTCTATAACTATATATATGTCTCACTTCGAGGTGGATGCGGGGAAATGGAGAATAGGTTTTAGTTTCAAATTTGGACACTTCGTTTCATTGCATAGGCTCTTTGGCGATGTAGTACTCACTACTCACATCTTCCTCAAATATGGCGTCGTGATTGAAGGCGCAGAACGGCACGAAAATGAAACCTCGGAGCTCGGAGTGCCCAGCGTTGGGTTAGGCGGATTCATAGACATATAAAGAATAGACTGCTTATTAGCAGCAGGGGCAGTGAAGCTCGCATAGAAAGAGAGAGAAGACGAAGGCAGTCAGTCTTTCTCTCTCGCAAACTCAGGGAGGGGGCGCGAGGCAGACGGACGGAGAAGGGGCACAGTTGCAGACGTATGTGAACATATATATGTATGCATGATGTTGGTTTACTCAGTAGCAGACGATGCAGTGCACAGGCGACAGCTGTATTATACGTGCTTTAATTCATTTATTTCAACAAAATAAATATATCTTATTTCTCAAATTACCCCAATGCGTAGATGATAAATGATTTCTAAATAATTTCAAAGAATAATTAAAAATTAAAGTTTTGTATAATTTATTAATGTACACTATTGACCAGAAAACAATGTAATTTTATTATTTTTCATCCTGATTCTTTTCATTTCATCCTTGTATCGCGAGCACTCGTTGTGGATACGTAAATTGAAGAATTCATTTAATATAATCTTCATGAGTTGTGTTCTATGATCAAACATTGATAGCTGATCATATATATGTGATCTCCATCATTAAAAAGTGTTCTTGGCAGTTGTCTGAAACATTTACTAATCAGAAAATCTATGATCTTTTTTTCTGTAAACAGATTATTCTTATANAACAGAGTAGCCAGTAAGCGCCCTGGGTCATTTGGTAAAAGGTACTTGTGTTATTAATAATTATTTATTTAACAGAGTGGCCAGTAAGCACCCCAAGTCACTGAGTGATAGGCGATTGTGTTATTTATTGATAACTATTTATACAACAGAGTTGCCAGTAAGCGCCCCGGGTCATGAGATGATAGGCGCTTGTGTTATTTTGATAATTATTTATTTAACAGAGTGGCCAGTTAGCGCCTCGGGTCATAAGGTGATAGGCGCTTGTGTTATTGATAATTATTTATTTAACAGAGTGGCCAGTAAGCACCCCAAGTCACTGAGTGATAGGCGATTGTGTTATTTATTGATAACTATTTATACAAAAGAGTTGCCAGTAAGCGCCCCGGGTCATGAGATGATAGGCGCTTGTGTTATTTTGATAATTATTTATTTAACAGAGTGGCCAGTTAGCGCCTCGGGTCATAAGGTGATAGGCGCTTGTGTTATTGATAATTATTTATTTAACAGAGTGGCCAGTAAGCACCCCAAGTCACTGAGTGATAGGCGATTGTGTTATTTATTGATAACTATTTATACAACAGAGTTGCCAGTAAGCGCCCCGGGTCATGAGATGATAGGCGCTTGTGTTATTTTGATAATTATTTATTTAACTGAGTGGCCAGTTAGCACCCCGGGTCATTGGGTGATAGGCGCTTGTATTATTTTAACAATGATTTATTTAACAGAGTAGCCAGTAAGCGCCCTGGATCATTGGGTGATAGGAGCTTGTGTTATTAATATTACAATTTTTAATTTTCGCGCGTTGTGGGTATACGGTCTTTGGCAATGCTTCTTCACTGCCGTCTGCTAGGTGGAACATTATTTCTAGATCGTACAGCTATAAATACGATCTAGGGGAAAAGTTCCGAAATTCAATTTGCCAAACTCAATTCTGATTCTGGTAAGAGTGGCGGCTGGTTAAAATTTTGACCTCCCTTTGGCCTCAGCTCTTGGTGTATATAGAATTAGAAGCTCACAGCCCACAGGCCTCACAGCCCACTAACCACTCAACCAACTTAACCAGGGGCGGCGGAGTGGGTGGGGATGGAAGGAAAACTCCCCACGCATATTCGATTTGGGTGGGGAAATCCACACGCAGAAAAGCGCAGAAAAACATATGTACGCCTACGGAAAATCTAAAATAGCGTAAGATGTAAGGCTGTACATAAGGAGTGGTTTTATACAAAACTGATTAGCTATAGTAAGTTAAAGCAACTAAGAATCTGTAAATGTATATGAAGCTTTGTAAAGTTCATAACTTCATAACCAAATTCAAAATTATTTTATGCAACAAATAGCTGGTGAATAAATTAACTAATTGAATTTTATCGTCTAAAAAAGCTTATTCTTAGATCCACTTTTCCATTTAATTTACCGTGGGTGACCTCGGACGTATTTCAAATGACGCGACACCCAAGTTTTCATTTGGAACATTCCCAATGAAAAGGTGTCGCGCGACGGCGGACAAAAGTTGTAGGTATACCTATTTATACCTGTATAAACCTATGTATGTACATGTATTTATAGGTATACCTACAACGTTTGTCGGCCGTTGCGCGACATCTTTTCATTGGGAACGTTCCAAATGAAAACTTGGGACGTGTCGCGTCATTTGGAATACGTCCCTTATATAAACTGCTCTTGGCTGCGCCAGTAAAAAGGCACCTTAATACGAAATTCGTCTGTTCACTATCGTAGCTCTCGAACAAGTGCCTGCTTGTGCCTCCGATCATTTGACGCGTGCGCATTACATGATGTCGATAACAAGTGCAATTTTTTTTCACACGATACATAATATATAACAGTGATCCTGTGATTAATTTTCTAGTATACATATTGTCTAAGTCAACCTGTGTTTATCTGCTAGTCAATAGTCATGGATAAGTTTTTAGTGAAAGTCGTGCGCAATCATAATGCAGAAGAATCTTGTACGAATGAAAAAAATCAAGGTACGACGGATGCTGACGTTGTCGATAGAAACAAAAATGATAGTTCTGATTACGCCTCAGTAGACAGTGCAGCAAACGGAGAGCCATGTAAGTAAACAAACAATAACCTATACTAATTATGTGTTGTGGGCTGCCTCTATTTATAAGAATTCGTCAATTTCTGATGTACTATTGGGTGAATTAAAGATATTAGCGGATGGTTGCTCGAAAAATGTTCTCGATTTGAGTGCTAAGATAAGGTTAAGGGCATGATATTATTTACAATACTAACCTACACCGCAGTTTTCTAAATTACGCGATGAAAACCGAAATGAATTATTTTACTCTTAGAAATCACTTAATTTATCAAAAAATTGAGGAAGTTTTTCCTAGGGTAGGAATCGTTCTCGTATCAACCCACTGTTAACCTCTGTACCGTAAATAAAAATTATCGAATGAATGAAAATAATGTTAAACCAGCACGTGGCTTAATACCTCGATATCAACAAGCCACGTCTGAGCCTATGGGCGATGATGAGTATTAAAAAAAAAAATGTATAGATATACGTGTGCACAACTGCTCCGCAGTGCGACTGCTTCTCTTTCTTTTTGTTTTATTAATTACACTGAAATATAATCATTAGAACTATGATTTTGAAAAAAAGACAGGACCATATTTTTCTTCATTTTTTAAATATATTTTTTAACGTATTATCCGGAGTTTCATGTGTTAGTTAGGCATAATTTATTTCCTTTAAATTATCAGTACTGCCATACTAAAAAGGTTCACTAAGTTGGCACATGTTTGTAAAATTTTTCGAATTACCTTACTGCTCCCACTACTACCAAATAAAAGACTGTTGCCATTTATATTTATATGAAATAATCAACTAACCCAGCATAATTTTTACCATTTTAGGCAATCTACCACCTCGTAACCTCAAACGTTGGCAAGAAAAATACACTTCGATAAAACTTAATAAAAATAACAAAATCATTTGTACTGTTTGTACAGACGCAGTTACAAAAAAAATCGTTTTCGTTGTTGACAAAAACAGCAGAGAGTCATGCGAAGCATTTGTAAATCGAGGCTTTTGTTCTTGGAAAAATGTGATTTCAAGGTTTGAAAATCATGAAAAGAGACAATTGCATCGAGATTCTATTACAGCTTTAAGTAATTTAGTGAAACCAACTATTAAACATCGACTTAACACTCAAAAACAAAAGGAAATGATGTCTGCCCGTATAGCATTGGATAAGATTTTTAGTTCAATAAATCTACTAGCTCGGCAGGGATTAGCTCTCCATGGACATGGAACTGATGAGAACTGTAATCTCACCCAACTTTTAAGAACACGAGCTGAAGACTGCGCAGAACTTGAAGTTTGGTTGAAGCGTCAAAATAATTGGATTAGCCATGATGTGGTCAATGAAATGTTAGATTTA